GTGTTCATTAAATGTTATTGAAACGATCGGTGCCATTTACTGATGGAGGATGGTTAAGTTTCTGGAAAAAAATGTAATTTTCCATGCCACATCCGCTGGGGATGTGGGGGTTTTAGAAAATCATAGTGACCGTTCACATGGCTGTGTTGGGGTGGCGTATGAAGCCCAATGTAAATATCACCCCTACACAGCCATGTACGCAGGGCTAGTTGGTCAGCAATCATTTTATTTAAATATTTAAGGCACCACTCAAATTCTATAATCACAGAAAAAAAAAAAAATCAATCCTAATAATGTACACTTGGTAATTTTTACACACATCAGATCACATCAGTTTACAGAGGGATTCTGACACTGAGCTATGTATGTAATCACTAGACCAACATTGCCAGGACAAATCGCAACAAAACCAGACATAAAAAACCTCTTTCGACTTTCTGTTCCAGTACATCGGTGAGAAAGTGAAGTAATGATTCAGATTACAGACAATTATTTTATTTATGGTTTAGTTGTAACTACACCACATGCTTTTGATTGAATAGATAGATATTATGAGACAGCATGCATTTATGATTTAATTTAAATGAAACCAAACTCCAAATTGGTTAGTTTTACAAGCTTGATTTTCACTATAAATAATACCTTTGTCTTGAACAGTTAACAAAGCAACTACAACAGACAAAAGATGGGACAATAAAAAAATTGTACACTGACGTCATTGTTTTTTTTATTTAATTTGGTACCCCATCGAACTGGAAATGTTTCGCGATTGAGTACAATGACATTTTACAGAGAGGTACACATTTTACATCGCATCACGAGTACAACTCACATAACTGACTATCACACTTCCGTATAAGCTGTAATTCAATTGTATTGTCATCAGCAAAACCACGCTGTAAATCGTGAGGCCGCCATGTTGGAATTGGCGACACGACACTGACAGACGTTTTTCAAACGTCATTTTTACAAACAAATGAAATATAACACCAACAATTAGTGTAAAGGACATCCACAGCCAATTCAGAAAGAAAACCCAATACATCATCTACTTGAACTTTCTGCACGTATTACTCTTGTCAGAAAAAAATGGCGTATAAAACGAGAAGGTAGCACGGCCTCGATTCGAACAAAGCCGACCACAAACTCACCAATCTGATGAAACCAAATCCACGCTCTTTGTTGAGGTACACCTCAGAAACATCGCCGTACTTTTTAAACATCTTTTTGAATTCTTCTTCGTCCGTATCGTTTGTAAGGTTTCCCACAAAAAGGCGACATCGTCCAGAGAATTTCTTCTCCACTTTTTGTTGCACTGGGTTGTCTTCACCACCAACATCTGACGGCAAGCTCTCATCAACGACAGGCTGTTCTTGTTTTTGATGTGGTCTTGCGTGTTTGCCCTTGTTCCTGTCCATATTACCACCTTTGTGGTTTGAGGAGCCTCCTTGATTGTGCTTGTTTCCTTGACCCGGCATTTGCTTGCTGTAAGACATGTAGCTCTGACAAAATTTAAACCAACAATGAGAGAAAATAATTTCAACACAAGCGAGCTTGCTCAACCGCTATGAATAAATGGCTTGGTCATGTGACTTACTTCCGACTTTAGCCGGAGTTACCCGAAGTCGAACACTTCCTTTGTATTTGTAAAATAATCAATATAAAAACATAGGAAGGAATATATTCACACCCTAAACTGAAATATCGGATGAAAAAAGGCAATAATATTTTTTTGGACCAGCACAAGAAAAACTGCAGAGATTAACAAAACTCATTAATATTCGGGCTTTGTGGGGGGCGAGTTACTTTGGCAGGAAGAGCCATGATTGGATGCGCCATTTTGTCCATTTACACTGCAGTCCATGGGCAAGATTTTCCACCAAAAATAGTTAAAACAAATATCACTTTTAGTATGCATTATACTTGTTGAGACTCGTGGTATTACTGATTTTGGAATTTAGTCTTTTATTGGTACCGTTGGCGCAATTATTAATGTTGTGCATGTCGGGACTTTGTCAGGCGAATTTTCAAGATGGCGGATGATCCGACGACGACGCCGACATCAGTCAATGTGGGAGATGGGAACGAAAATCGTACTTTAGGTGGCGTTATAGAAGGAAACGGAGAGGCGTGCACAACCCAAAAGGATTTGTCCGTGGTGGGGCCCATTTCTGCAGCTGACAGCAGGGTAAGGTTCTGTTCAGTGTTTTGTTCTGTCACCAGGTCACCTTGCGCACAATCCATCAATGGCGGTAAAATTACACGTGATTATGGTCGGAGCGCATCGCACGCTATGACGCATATTGCCGAACGTACGCCATTCAAATGACCCGATATATTATAGCGAAGTTGTGGATTTCTACCAAGATTTTTTTTTTGGCGTTGATCTTCTATAGAAATTTGATGGAGACATTAAGCGCCGAGGCTTGTCTCGATTGATCCATGAATACCGAGGCTGAAGTGTGACAGATTTGTAATTTCGCGTGAAATGTATTACAACTAATATGTAATATCTCAGTGGTTTATTGATAAGAACATGCCATATAAATATGCTTGTATTTGTTCAAGTAATTCGTAGTTTCGCCGGCTGATGGGCCGTAATACCGGAACCAGTTTATTTTCTTCGTTTGTATATTTACGCGAAACAGAAAGATATATTGATATGGCCTTATGTTCCCAATGTTTCTGTGTGAACATGGTTTCTCATGACCGGAATATTATGTTTTCAAAGTGCTTTTTGTAGTGAATTGTTTAAAAATATATATTCTGATAGAAATTTTTATTTGCTCAATATGAATTTTAGGAAATATTTGTGAAAATACTTGGGGTGGATGAGAAATGGTTAAACGATTGCGATTATGGTTTTATATTAAGGATCGAGCTAGTAGAATCTATGATAATCTAGGCTTAACTTATAATAAATATGAATCTCAAATATTACTCCTAAGTTGTTTAATAAATCAATATTTCAAAATTGATAATTCTCTGTAATGCAGTGATAGTGTAAACAAAATTCCAGTCTTTAAAACTTTTTCAGTTTGTAGAGTTTGAAAATTCACCAGATCAGTAAGGTTTTTGTCCCTGGGTTGTGAAAGTCTGAAGTTGAAAAATCTGATTTAGCCATTTAGCAAACATTTGGTTTGCCCGCCCCAAATGGCTCAATTTTTGCACATATTGGTGATCTGATAAACACCAGTTGACCACAACTCGTGTATACCGGTGTCATTCTTGGTCACAAGATAAATTAGGAATTTCATAAAAGATACAAATCTGTCACAAAGACAGATGAACAATGACCTTGGTTTGACCCTGTGGTGGGTGAGATAGGGTTGTGTTATGTAGAGAACAGACTTCCATGAGACAAGTCAAAATCTGAGATCTGTGAGGTCCACTTTATTGATACATCAGAGTACATTGGAGTCAAAACAAGAACTGCTCCCTTCAAAAATCTGGTAACTTGGAGTATTTGCATAATGTTGTCAAAATACAATATATACTGTGACTGGTTCAAATCAAAGTGGAAGATTCCACTATCATAGCAACCAGTAATTAGTCTTAGTTACCGGGTTAAAGGTTATGAAAAGAGACAGATAAACTACAGATCTAACTTGTAACATTAAATCTCAGACTAGTAATGTTGTATTAAGGTAGAGATGCACTTTATTTGTGAATTTCAATCAAAAATAGTTTTTTTCGTTTTTTATATAGATTTTTATCTAAAGAACATTCTGTGAAAATTTGACCAATGAATTCTTATTGGAACACCGTTAACATTGCTGTTTATTTTCTGGTTAAAAATAAAAAACACTCACACGTGGCAATGTTTATGTCCAATTGCCTAATTTGCATGAGTAACCAAATAACAAGACCTTTGATTGACAATATGCAAATCGAGATTGTACGGGTCATAGTTCATTCAATTCACGCGCATGTGCAATTATTCTCAAATCAG